GACTTCTTGTTAAAAACCACAAGTCCGATTGCTTTGATATTACATATATAGGTACTACATGTGGACCTCTCTCAGATTTGTTCATTTTGTGATGATGTCTTCAATTCTCTAATTTTGGTGAATATTTTTGTAATTTTTGGTAAAAAGTGATATTTTCGACTTCTTGTTAAAAACCAATAGTTCAATTGCTTTGATATTACGTATATAGATACTACATGTAGACCTTTCTCAGATTTGTTCATTTCGTGATGATATCTTGGATTCTATAATTTTGGTGAATATTTTTGTCATATTTGGTAAAAAGTGATATTTTCGACTTCTTGTTAAAAACCAAAAGTTCAATTGCTTTGATATTACATATATAGATACTACATGTAGACCTTTCTCAGATTTGTTCATTTCGTGATGATATCTTCAATTCTCTAATTTTGGTGAATATTTTAGTCACTTTTGGTAGAAAGTGATATTTTCGACTTCTTGTTAAAAACTGCAAGTCCGATTGCTTTGATACTATACATATTGTTCATTTTCTGATGATGTCTTCAGTTCTTTAATTGAAATGTGCATTTCTAACAGCGGAGCTATCTCAGCCGATAGGCTGCTTGTTTTTATGTACAAGTAGCATTGCACGTTTGTGGTAGATAACAACTTGCTTTCCTGGTGCAATGTAGTTGCAACATTCTGTTACAATATTAATTACACCCTTTTACGTCATCAAGTTCATCTTAACTGGCATCTGAAAGGTTATATTATGCACATTTGGGCAGGATGGTAGATTCTTATCTGACATAAACTATTAGGAAGTCTTTGTCATGTGCTGTGTATGTAAGGCTTTTTGCTTGTGAGACTGCTTATAGGTTTCATACTGCAATTAAACCTCCCATAATCAACAATGTCAAAACTTGTAAAGCAGGGTTTTTTTACATGTAAAACAATATGTCGAGCACCTACAATTTTACAAAATGAAATAAAAGGGATTTTTTTAGATTTTTAAATCTTGTATATACCGTACTTTCCCGAGTATAAGCCCACCCTCTGTTTTTAAACATTTAACGAGTTGAGGGTATCCCTGAGTATAAGCCCAGGGTTTTACTGGGCGTCGACCCCCCACCCTCAGTTTACCTTTTGAAAATTGTGAATCAATAGCTTATAGGGAAAAAATACTATTTTTTTGTTGAAATCAGTGTTAACAGATTGCATTTTAACATCTTACTTTGTCAATAATCAGAAAACTTTGTTTGTACGACACAGTATTTTCATTGATTAAGGAAAGATGTGACATGTTAGGTCAAAAGAAGTTGTTCAGGTGAAATCATGATAAAATACACCGTGACGGAAATAGCTTTGTATCGAAAGTTTGTGTACGATCGAAAACATTCCACAACGAAGATGATGATAAAGATCTTGCCTTCAACCGTTTTCCCACAGACCCTCCCAATTTTTGAACCGTAAATTCAGACTGTATGTAAAAACTGTATTGAAATAAAATGTGTGTATTTTTATGAACATGTTTGTTTCTTCATTGTAAAGAGTGTCGTTGAAATCAATGACGACTTGTTTTGCATGTTTCGCATGTTGCTGTGAACGAAAAATATAAATTGGATAATTTTTTGAGGTTGGGAAGATGGTTACAATTTTCAACTCATCAAAAAAAATATCTTTTCTGAGGTGGTCCTCGAGTATAAGCCTACCCCCTGATTTTCCCGATTTTACATGTTCAGGCCCCTGGCCTTATACTGGGGAAGTACGGTATGTTAAACATTTTTCCCCAAAAGTCCAAAAAATGCTGCCAATTCAACAACAAATTTAAACCTTAAATCTAAGGCTTGATTGTTCTTGTGTATTACTGTATTTATCCTGTCCTGGGTGATTATTTGGAGAAAGGGTTATATTCTTGGGTGAGTGAAAATATCTTCCAGGGAGACCTTTTGGTGCATTTTTTCAACCTATTTCAATCCATTATAGCCAAAATACAATAGTCATGACAGGGATGGCAAGATATGAAGAATATTATTGGCAGTATTCTTATTTAGCTGTCAAGAAAGAGTTAAAGAATTTTTTTAAATAATGTCACAAATAGTTGAAATGTTACATTTTTGATATTTCCTCTTTATAACAGCAAATACTCAGTGATTTTAATATGATTGTGTGCATTTGGTTTCAATTATGCTGGCAAATAAAAGTATAGAACAAAATTTAAATTAAAAACATTACACTAATGCTTGGCTTTAGTAGCAAAGGATCACAGTAGTGATATGGACACGCTAATTTTACAAGCTAAAAATGTTACATGTTAACTGTCGGCTTGGCCCTGTGCCTTAATAAAAATTCTAATTGTGGTGTGAAACTTATAAAATATGTATATATTGGATTGAAAGACCAACCTGTGTGAGTTTGAGTGGGTTGAAGCTGACTGACCATTTCTTGATCGGAATGCAGTATGTTTGATTTGCTTGGTTTTGTCTGTATTTGTTTTTATTATAGTAAATAATATTTTCTTTACAGTTGATGTGATGCTATAATGTTGATAATATGCCGTTAGATTACATAACCACATTTGCTTTTAATATTTTTTATTGTGTCAATTACATGCGCAGATAGTGAATATACACATGTTATTAAATGTACTACTGCTTATTGATTTGTTGTCAAGTAGTCTTGGACAACCACTTTTGCCACCCAAGGTTCATTAAATCAGCTGTCGCCTCACCATTGTACCTAGGTAGAATTCCCACTATAAACCTGTATTTACTGTTATTGAAATCAAACACAACACATGCTATGATTCATTTACATGGTCAATGACATAATATATAACTTATTTAAAATTTATGTCAGTTGTTGTTACAGGAATGCTGATTGATAGATCCAGCTCATTGGCGTGCCCAATCAAATCATTCAGTTAAGCTTAGGTCAAATATATTTTTTTTTCTAAAACAATCACATACAGATTTGTTAGGATGACCATAAATGGTTGTCTTCAGTGAAACCATGCGAATTAGAGGATGTAAAATGGCATTGGGTTGGAACAGGTTGTCAAGTAGTCTTGGACAATGCTTAAATGGCCATG